CAAGGCGTCGCGCTGGCGCGGGCGGCAGAACCGCGAGAAGCGCTTCACGTTCGTGCTGGCCGTGGTCATCGGAGTGTTCGTGGTGTGCTGGTTCCCCTTCTTCTTCACCTACACGCTCACAGCCGTCGGGTGCTCAGTGCCGCGCACGCTCTTCAAGTTCTTCTTCTGGTTCGGCTACTGCAACAGCTCGCTGAACCCGGTCATCTACACCATCTTCAACCACGACTTCCGCCGCGCCTTCAAGAAGATCCTCTGCCGCGGGGACAGGAAGCGGATCGTGTGAGGTTTCCGCCGGCGCCCGCGTAGACTCACGCCGACTGCAGGCAGCAAGGCACCGAGGAGTGCTCAGCTCCAGGGCACTCAGAAACCCGGGCCCTGTCTGCTCTGCGTTTCCTCCTCTGCGGTGGCTCTGCAGCCTCCTGCGGGCGGGCGTCTGCTGCTCCTACAAGGGAAGCGTTCTTGCTGCCAGACCCACGCATCCCCAGTTGTTGGTTTGGCCACTCTTGACCTGGAGCCATCTTCCTGGTGGGCCACCCCAATCAGTATTGCTTCCTGAAGGTATTTTCACCTTCCTCCCATAGCCCTCACAGCTCTTCAGAGCAAGCACTGGACTACAAGGGCATGGCTCACGAAAGGTTAATGGATGGTTACCTAGAGGATTACCTAGCCCTGGCTAATTCCCCTTCCATCCCCAGCTCTCTCTCTCTCTCTTTTTTAAAACCCACTCAGGGCAGCCCTGCCTGCCCTCCCCACCACCCCCTCCACACTGTAAATATACACTATTTTTGATAGTACACATGGGGACCCCGTATCTCTTGACCTTGGTTTTGACGGTGAAATCCTGGCCTTGGGAGAGATGCCTTCCAGGCAGACACAGCTGTGTGGTTCAGGCCAAGCGCCATTTGCAATGCAAGCCCTTTCTGGTGTTACGATGTCCCTCTATGTCGTCCTTTTCACCAGCAACTGGTGACTGTCCCTTTGACACGGACCTGCTTTGAGATTTCCTGACGGGGAAAAGATTTCTGTCCATTTTTTTTTCCTGTGCCTAACAGCATAATTGCCTTTTCCTATGTAAATATTATGATGATGGATCAAGACATAAGTAAATGAACCTTTCTGCCTCACATCAGCCCTGTGTATAAAGCCATTATTCTCTGATGCACTGTTCGCCCCAGTAACTCACTTTAAAACCTCTCTTTGCAGTGTTCCCTCTCTCCCTGCAGGGCCACTGCTTGAAGAAGAATATGTATGTTTCTATCTTGTATGTACGTGCGCCCCTCCTGCCCCCAAAGTGCTGACTACGGGAAAATCTTTTAGCTGCTGTTTTTAGACACCAAGGAGTGGAAATTACGTGGAAGAAGCAAACCTGATACAATCTGCCCAAGGTAAACAGTTTGAAAAGACAAATGGGCCTGCCAAACTGTACAGTTCCCGCCCCAAGAGCTGTTAGGTATCAAAGTGTGGTCCTTTCCCCCCTCCCTGCTTTTCTGGTTGAGATCATGTCATTGATGAACTGCCAAAGTCAGGGGAGGAGGGCGGAGACCTTGTGTTTACATCTGCGTTTCTACATGTTTTAGACAGAGACAATTTAAGGCCTGCACTCTTATTTCACTAAAGAAAAACTAATGTCAGCACATGTTGCTAATGACAGTGGATTTTTTTTAAATAAAAAAGTTTACAGATCAAATGTGAAATAAATATGAATGAAGTGGTCCTCTTGTCTGTTACCTGAGTTTTCAAAAGCTTTAAGGCTCTGGGAACATCTGATTTTGTGGATTTTTTAAAAATAAAAAATGTACATTATACATTTTTTTAAACGTTCGATCAATAACAAAGCTACCATTTCCTAAGTGTTTCTGACATGCTAGACACTGTGGTGAACTGGTTGTAGGCATTGCCTCGTTTACTTTTCTCAAGAACCCTGTGAGGTAAGTTCTGTTACTATCCCCATTTTTCAGGTGAAGAAACTGAATCTCAGAGCAAGTGACTTGCTCAAGGTTAACAAGCGGTGGAAATGCATTGTACCTAACTTTATCTCGTTCTAGGGCCTGTGAACGTAACCCCAGAACCTTTCCAGAGTTTTGGCATTAGCCCTTCTCAGAACACTCCCAGTGGAGAGGTGTCTATGCAGTGTGCTATCTACACCAGGTGTGAGATATATCCCAAGTATGTAATATACACAAGGTGTATACATACCCCAGTGTCTATATGACCTAATGTGTCTATATACCTCAAAGTGTGTATCTACTCCAAAGTGTGGTATATGCACCAAGTGTGGAATATATCCAAAATGTATATCTCACCTTAAAGCATGGTAATATATGACATGTAACATATACTCCATAGTGTGGTTATGCACAAAGTATGGTCTAAACACCTGAATAGAACCATGTATTAGTTGGTGGTTTGTGGTTTGAATTGTCTCTGGCCAGAAGGCACGCATCCTTCTTGTTGCATTGCTGTAATAGCAAAGTCTGCTCTGCTGTCTAGGAGGGCTTATGGTCCTCACACTATGGTTATGGCACTTTGAAGCTGGAAGGGGCCTTAGCAATCCAGGAGTCCAACCCCTCATCTGACAGATGAGAGGGCAAATGCAGATTCAAGAGGAAGCGACTTGCTCAGGATCCCATGGCGCTAGGTGGCAGGGCTCTGGCTCCAGGCTGCCTGGGTTAGGGAGCAGCTGAGAGATGTGTAGTAGCCCTGTGCATATAGTCAGATGCAGTGCTGATGAATAGCCACTCATAGAGGAGGGGGGTTTGAGGGGCAAACCCAAGCATCAGGCTGTGGTTTTGGGGGAGGCCAGCTTTTGTGAGCCCAGCCACCTATAATATGTATGGATCAGCTTTGGACGCCCCCCCGGAAGCAGGTCCTTTGCACCCTCTGGGCCGTACATGCAGCATCTCCTCATCTTCCTTTGCTTCTCTGGTGCAGGAGAGGGTGTCTGTGTATGCAGCAGTGGGAGGGTGGAGAGCCCTGAGAAATGATCTGGGCACTGAGGGGTCTGGGAGAGGGAAGACCATGGCTCTGAGGGGGTGAGGAATTCCTGCTGTCACCTGGATCCTCTGAGCCGGCAGACAGAAGGGTGGCCAGGTGCTGGGCTCCAGTGACCCTGGCTCAGAGGCTTCAAAAACCAGCCTCCTGGCCTGTGGCGCCAAGGCTGGCTCCCTGGTCTGGTTCTGTGGCCTGCTCCCCATCCCACCCTCACCCCAGTCTCTCCTTTCCCTCCTCACTCCAGTGCACCCATCGCCCCAAAGGCAAACAGTGCCAGACAATAGCCTGCCTGGCAGGCCCCCAGGCCCCAGGCTGTGTGTCCCAGCCACAGGAGCAGATACAAACACTGCTTGCTGTTGACTCTCAGCTCTGTCCTGTCTGCCAGGAAAGTGTTTGCCTTGCCTCCACCCCCAGAGAGGGAAGAAGCATGGGCTGTGGTGCTACACGGAGGGGCCTCTGGTGTCATGCTCCTTCCTCCTCCTTACAGAAGCAGAGAAGCCTTAGAGGTGGATGGAGGCTTCAGAAAGTGGGGGAGAGAGGGCTGGAACCCAGTCATGGATGGGTTTCTGAGTTCACAATAGGAATCACTGTTTATTCATTTGCAAAGGGCTCAAGCAACAGTCTGGCAAGGTGTGGGGTGGGGAGGGAAATTGAGGCAAAATGGCTCCCGCAGGGATCTTGGCTTAAAGAGCAGGAGATAAGACTCTAACCCCCACATTTTCCTGTGCATCGTATCTGTTCCCGAGTATCTGGGCCAAGAGGGTCTGTCTTCGTGGCTGAATCTCCTGTTTTATGTAACTTTGGTTGGGATATCGAAAGCCATTGGCTTTTGGGTCTGAAGTGCGTCTTGCTAGATTTACTCCTGCAAGTGCACTGGGTTGGGGGAAGGGTAGTGCCTTCGTTTGAGCCTGGGCACAAGCACGATCTCCTCCTCCCCAAGGCTTTGTTCAATTTCTTCTGTGCTAAAAGGCTGGAGGAGAGAATGATGAAAACATGGCTTAGGCTTTCCCCTGTCTAGGACCCTATAATCAAATCAGAGATTTAGAGCCAGAAGCATCATCATCAATCCTTAACTCTTACCTTGGACTGGCAGATCAAGGGACCTGGGACCTAGAACAGCTGTTGGTTATGTAGCATTCCAGGAGCCCTTGAACCCACTCCTCCCTGTGACTCTCCGTCTGATGCCACATACACCCAACATGAATTCTATTTTGTTTTGGGATGTGGTGAGTGGCTAATCAACCCCAGAGGACCCCCTGTGCCTGCTTTGTGTCATGGACCATCCTAGGCATTGCAAGGCAGTTCTCTTCCTTCCCTGCATGCACTGTGCAAAACTCACCGCTTGTCCCTGTGGAGTGAGATGAGGGCCCGCCTCTGCCCTCTGGAAGTTTTGGAGCTACATGGGAAGCCAGGATGTGCCTGTGAAAATCACTAATTAGCCACACACAGCGACAGTGTGGCAGTAGGGGAGAGGATGCCATGTGCCCACCAAAGATAATGGGCATCCGTACTGTGAGTGAGCGGTGGGGGAGAGGTGGCTGTGGCTGGGAGCTCAGAGCATAGAATGTGGGAGTTGGGATGCCCACACTTTGAGAAGGAAGCCCGTGAAGGAAGCTCTGGTTCTAGCAGCTGAGTCCTGTGGGACCAGTGCCAGGCCTGAGCAGTGGCACCTGGGCCCAGGTCAGGCCTCAGCTTTCATCCAACCTTGTCCTTGGGGATGGCATGACAAGGTCCTGTCCCCATTTGGGGACACCCGTAAGGAAGTCTACCTCCTTGACTCAGTAGCATAATAGGATCCAGGTACCCAGGTCCAGAGCCCAGTGCCAGGCTAGCCCTTGGGCCTCTGCCCTGGGCCCTGCCACCCCTCACAGTGGGCCTGAGAGTCCGGGGTGCAGAACGGGACACCTTCCTCAGCAAAGGGCACGCCGGAGAGGGAGACCACGTCAAGTCACGGAGCAAAATCACTGACACTCGGATTTGTTTTGGAAATAACATTGATCTATTTGATTACCAGAAATCCTGGGGCTTAGAGTTAGTTAAATACAAAAAAAGAGAACAGGGCCTGTTGGAAACAGCCTAGATTGAGGATTAGGAGGCCTGGGTTCTAGGCCCAGTTTTGTCTTTTACCAGTGATGTGATCTTGAGCAAATCCCTCTCTGAGTCCCTGCTTCTTCATTTGTGAAATGCAAGTGGTTGGTCTAATATTATTTAAAAGTGTGTTCTGTGCAGTTAATTTAACTACAAAATCTATCTATAATATCTACATTATCTATCGACATTATCATTCTATCTGTCTCTACTGTCTATCACCTCTGTATCATCTCTTCCCTGTCTGCCACCTATCTGGTGAAATGCTGGGGTAAGCAGTCTTTAATAGGTATCTTTAATCCTCTCCTTCAGGATCTCTCAGAGACTTTGATGTGCCTGTGTGGTTTGTGATTGTCTGAGAGAGGATGACATGGTGTGCTGATTCCCAAACTCCCTGGACTGTGGAATTTCTTTTTTTTTTTTTTTAACAGAGCATCTCAGTGAATCATGTTTGCTGGAACACTTGTTGAGTAACACTGGGTTAAGGGATCTCATGGGGCTTTTCTGCTGATCCATTTTATAATTCTGTGAAATGCGGGTCTGCTCTCTCCTTTTGTCCAGGCCATAGGTGAGGCACACTGGGAAGGGCCAACCCATGTGCTCTCTGTAGGGACAGCTGGCACTAAGGGCCATTGGCCTCATGGAGGCTGGGGTAGAAGTGAGGGTTTGGTGTGTTTTCCAAACATAAGCTAAGCCTATGTATATGTGTGTGTAACATGTGAGTGTCTATGGGTGTGTGTGTATATGTGTCTGTGTGTGTGTAAACAGGCACCAATGGACACTGAGGACCACTTTGCTCACCTGGGCCTGACATGTGAGGGTATACATGTATGCACCAGGGGAAGAGGTCACAAAGGAAATTAAAGGGGAGTGTGGTGTGTCTCACTGGTTGTCATGTCAGTTGGCCCCTCCCTGCCTGCGAGGCTGCTCCCCCGAGGTGGAATGCCACTCCCCTTCTAGGGCAATGAAGCCAAGCTAGGAGGAGGATGGGATGATGCAACGCGCACATTCTGGGGCAGGCAACACTGCTTCTCTGGCAGGCGTATTCTGTAGCCTCCAGGCTGTCCTGTTCTCCATGGAAGGGGCAGTTTATCTGACTACAGAGAATTCTGGAGGGGATGGGAGGCAAGAGTGAGAGTCTGTTAATGTTGTCCCCAAGTTTTTCAAGGGCAGGGACTTGAGACCTCTTTAAAATCTGTACCTGAGAAAAACAAGATGGCACCCTGTGAAGGGATGAGAGAAGGGGAATTGAAAATGGACTATTTGCAAGGTACAAGCAGGGTTAAGAGAAACTTACAAGGGCCCTGGGACATGCACAGTGGGAAGCTGTCAGCACCTTCAGAAGGGGCGAGGTGCTACCCACGCTATTGGAACTGGGACTTTGGGGAAGGATGCCTGGCAGGCACTGCTGGCAGAGGACCCCTGCAGCCATTGCTAAGCTGTATCCAGACAGGGAGAGAGCAGGGAGAATCAGCACATTCTCCACTCTCACTCCCACACCCTGATCTGCTGGTGGCTGCCCTTAGGCAGAACTCAGCACAGAAGAAAGAGTAAGGGGACAGCTCACAGGGCTCAGCCTTCCGGGGCTCAGCATGGACAAGGGCAGAGACTATAGCCAGAGGTGCAAGTAGAGAACATCTAGTGTAGAACCCAAAGCCTGAGAAAGGCAGAGTAACAGCACTTTGGGGAACAGGCTGGAGAGAGGCCAGCTGCCTTTCTGCAGTTT